GGAGACGTAGAGTGAAAGCGTTAGAGGGACACCTTTACTACTCTAATTACTGTCCAAAATTCTGCGAACTGCGTGTTTCTGACCTTAAAGAAATATGTGTACAGACTGGTGCCACAGCCCGGCTTAACTGGCACTCAGACGGTAATGTCTTCAGGACATAAGACTAAACTAACACCGAGGCAGCAGAGCCCAAAGGTTCGACATCGCTAAATCTACACTAACGCCACTGAAAACTGAAAGTCTCGTAAGCTTGTTCCATCCACACAATAACCTATTTCAGCAGCAAAATTCTGCATTCATCTCTTGTCTCCACCTTATCCGCAAGTCCAGACCATAAGAACTTCCTGCAACTTACAAACATCGGCGTTCCGTCTTATGTAAATCCTGAGCTAATCACTCCTATCGTTTCGAGTTAAACTACATTTCTAAGTCAGTTGTATTTAAATATTTGTAATTATGTTTCATAATCACAAGAAACCACTCCACATGCCTCTGAAATGTAACTGAAAACACTTTAATTCCTTATATGATCTTTGATGTTTTGGAAAGAAGAGATGATGAATACACATGAGATGAGAGAATCTCACAGCGGTCAAGATAAAATGGTGATCTTCAAGGTTGCGATGCCTTTCGACCTGGTATTTAAATACCAGTCCTGAAGATGGAGACGGCGTGTTGCAAAATGTTAGTTCACACGGCGCCATAACCTAGACGACGATCGTCGACGGAATGAGAAGTTTACGAACCAAATATGAATTAATACTTTCACAATATGACCTCATAATCTCGTCATTAACATTATTCATGTCTGTTACAACTGCTCTCAGATATATACGTTGAAATATTCCCAATTGATTGATTACACTACTTTCTTGCAGATATGGTTTCATTGCCATGTCGATTCTGTCTTATGCGCCAACTGCTCTACTGACCTGTAAAACAATTTCTGCTTCATTCAATAATGACTCCTGGTTAATCAAGATTTTCCACAAAGGATGGAATTTAAGACCGATGTTGAGTTTCACTTATAGCAACAACGGGACGCAGATTCGGGTCGCGGATAAACGAGAAAGACAGGGGAAAACTATTTGGAAAAATCTATGTGGGCGATGTTTGAAGGACATAAAAATAATATAAAGCTGTATTCCACAAAATCATGGGTTTACATACGACCTGACCAGATTTAACCACACTAAAAGAAAGTTTTATCGAAATTATTGGGATGCCTGTTTTTAGTCTGGAATTATAATGAAAGCTGCAAAAATGTACTATGTACTCATTGTTTCTAAACAGGTTTGGCTGATTTAGATTATAAACTTCTACAATGTTAGTGTGGTACTGCTTACCCAAGATTAAATTAGCAGTTCAGTCCCGTGATAAACCGCCCTGTTCAATATCTTGTATTTCCCTGTGGTTTTCAATCTGGTTCTGGTACTTCTCGGGCTAGCAGAATGTAAGGTGGTTTAATGGAGAAGACACCAACGTTTCGAGAGCCATTTTCGTCCTCGTCTTCAGGGTAATCATCATCCTGATGATGGTGGCAGCAAGGACCTCTGAAACGTCGGTAAACTTCTACCAGACTACACGGCGCAACAACCCAGATGACAACCAACTCCTTTGCTAAAACTGTTTATTACTAGCCCCATCTATAGAGTCCACTGGTAATTACAAACACACAGATTTAAGGAGTAAACCAATTACTGCAGATCAGATCCCACATTATTTGTCAACTTCGCCCCTTCCTTCTACGCGCTACCGTCACTGATGTTCACCAATAAAAAAGGTATAAGACAAGCAGACTAACAGAATGTTATTTTCTTTATGGAAAGAGAGAGACAGAGAGGAAGTATTCTATGTCGCAGAAGCCTCAGTGTATTAAAGGGCGTCACGAAAATACAACGCAGAGAAACTGTAAAAAGGTTAAATATGCGCAGCCATTGAATACAGTTTATTTCCAAAGAATAAAACCACTTTACTCCCAGTTCCAGTACCTCATACCAAATGCTTGCGAAGAAAGGCACCAAGCTCAGTTTCTGTCATGAATCACATTCTCATTCATTGGCCTTCACATATCTAATTTTCGGCGTACAAACTACCGAAACGGTAAAGTGTGTTCAAATAAGCACGTCTTAAATATTTCGGAACGTATCTCACTCCAGCATTGAAGTCTCCAAGGTATCACGTCTGTATCCCTCGTTGAAGTCTCCATTATTCCATGCGTTCGATGGTCGATGGTTACTCGCAATTGTTGCTGTCAACGAAAGCTTCTTGATCTGTGTGTTGCGAAAATGTGCAATAAAATATCGTGCACATAAATTTATCAGAAGAGCAGTAAGAGTAGTTATTGGCGAGACCACGTTCATACCACAGACCTGTGCCACTTATCCATTATTAAACAGCCTTGATACTCTCTCAGTTTCTTCCTTTTCTTTTCTTACATACTGCGATTTACAAAATGGCCGTTTTGAACTCAGAACTTAATCTTCTGTCAGACTTGTTATTTATTACTTGTTTCTTATTTGCTTATATACGCGTCAAATTGTTTAATTGATTATCCGTGTTTTAATTTAACGACCCTGTCAGTAACTCGTATTATATAACGTCGAATCATATGATTCATGAATAGGAAAATATATGGAAGGAAGCGATCGTGGCTCGTTCAATACCAGAATTCGCCTGGAGGACTGAAAAATATCACAACAAACTTCAATCAGGACGACCTGTCTACGGCCAGAGACTTTAGCCACAGAACTTACGAAAAAGAAACAAGAGATCTAACCAGTCGACCTCGATGTTTGTTAAATTACTTTTTCCTAAAATGCTGGTAAGGCCATGGTACTAAGTACGCACGCATGTGGAGGTCGTATTTACGTCATGTAGTATTAACATGATCATCCGTGATAGCTCAGTCAGTATAGTGACTAGCTACGGGCTGGACGACCGGGGTTCGATCCTCGACGGGCTCTGGAGCCCACCAAGCATCCTATCTAATGGGTACAGGCGTTCTTTCCTGGGGGTAAAGCGCGGCCGGGGCGTGATGCTGACCATTTATTCCCATCTAGTACCGTGGTCAAGAATGAGTAGGAGCTATACAATCTCTCCCCACCAGCGACCTACATGGCGTGTAGCGGGACTGCTTTACTCTTTTAGTATTATCAGGAGTGTGATTTAGGATATTCGACAGGCTGCACACGTGGCCAAGGCGGAAGAGGCAACAAAGTCATGCAGAATATTGTCTGGGAAACCCCTTGGAAAGAATCCACTTGGATGACCGAGAAGGTGATCGGAGTATAATATTTAAGATGAATTAATAGACAAGTTGGGATGATCAGAGATGGATACAACTGTCTAAGGACTTTCTAGAGTGGCTGGCTTTAGATGTGATTCATTACTTATTTCCTTCACCTGATACAGTGGACAGTGGTTATGGCCTAAAGAAAATACTTGGTTTGCAAAGCATCGTTCCTTGTAAAAAAAAAATCAGAAGGTGAAGGCAGCATTTCAGGGACACCATGCTGGTCCAGTAATTCACGTACAAGCCAAGTATTCGAAAGTTACTGACCAAGACCGATCGCGATCGTTATCACCAACAGTAATTAAATTAAAATGTCAATGACAACTAATCACTAAAAGACGGGAGTAGAGGCAACCCCCGAAACGTAGTGTCTGTCAAACACACCTCAGACAATTTAAAATGTTCAATATAATATCTCTGTTAATCAAAATTGTCACAAACCTCTGGAGAATGGCGTTGAGGTGTATTTGACATTAATAGGAACGTGTCCAGAGATCTTTCATCATTCCACGACGTTTAAGGAACTTTAATATCACTTCGTGTTATATTCAGTCCGAGTCTCCACGTTGAGAAATTCTAGATGCATATTAAGTCCTTGATGTACTGATGTCAAACTACGTTGCATAAAAGTATAAAAATAATTATGTCACAGGAACGGAAAACTAATAGCATGTGATGGGTCGGCTTGCGGGGAACCCGAATGTGTCTGGCAGGCCTGCAATCATTTTTTTTTATTCTTTGTGGCAGTCCGTCTTCAACGTATATAGCTCCCCAACACTTTCACTGACGCACTATAGGCAGATGTGATTAGATAACATTTCTTCCGCACAGACCAAATTATTTCATCGGCATCCTACTGTTTGCACCCAAACATAAAAAAACGTGAAGATACTTTACACATCCCTGGTTTACACCAACATAATCGAGCTTCGTGGCCAATTGGTTAGCATACATTTCAAACACTGGAGAGTCCTGGGTTCAAATCTCGGTCCGGATACAGCCTACCCTGACAATTTCCTTGTGCATTTCCTCAATATTGTCAGCGAAGTGCCGGGATAGTAGTCACTGCCACTTTTCCCGACTTATTTCAGATTCATTATTCATTAATGACTATCATCTGACGCTGTATGTATGTTGTGAGGTGCGCTCAGCATCGTTAAACAAACCACAACACACATGTCTGACACACTGCTACGTCACGAGTTAACGCAATCGGAATGACATGGTTCGAGGCAGCAACAAGTACAATTTAGCCTCGACCCTCGGAGCAAGGCTGTCGGTATCAACCATCCAAAAATGTAAAACTGAATTTCGAGTTAAACTTTCGTTACAAGCTTGATTTTAAAATTAATGCATAAAGTGTTTGTGAAGTATATTTCCCGATAATAACCGTATACATAACACACTTGGAATCCTTTGCCAAGGACAGGTGGGAAGGTGAACCACTGACGTAACTACTACAATTTGTAGGCGAAGGTCGTACATTTCAGGTATAGGTTATATCTCAGTGATCGTTGGACCCGAATTCTATTATCGTTCACATAATCAAATATATGTAATCAGGCTGTCTCATAATTCAAATGCTGCCTTGCCTACTACTGAGTGAGCTCTTTGGTTGGTTCAACGGTAGTCGCCAAAGCGTCATTTTTAAATAAACGACAATGACCTTGGAATTGTTGTGGAAATGAAAGTCGGTGTTTTCTAGGTTGTTGCGCCTTGATGATGGAGGCAGGAGGCATCTCTGAAACGTCGGTAAACTTCTATCAGATTACACGGCGCAACAATCCAGAAAGTGGCCATCTTCGTATTCGCCGCAAAGGAAACCTCAAAACTAAAAGAAGTTCATGGGCTATAGGGTGAGTTCTGAATCCCACATTTGAAACCGGATACAAAGAGGAATCATTACTTTTCCGGGGCTTAACGAGATTCAGGATGCTGTTTCGTGCATGACGTCACCCTGCTGTGATCTGATTTTGACTGAACCGAAAGACCAGCTCGAGTACCTTTCACACTGAACTACTCCGACAATGCGAGTATTTTTCCTGCAGACCACAATGCAATCGATTATCTAATCCCATTTGTAAAATGCGGTCCCCGAAGTTGACGCACATGGAGATTAAATCAGACGACAGGCGTATTCTGCTCCGCGTGACGAAATGAAAGGACGACGTGTATACTTATTAGGGAACAAATCGCTTGTGGTTGTTCGTCGTAACGCACGTTTTCTCCCAAACTGCAGAGTGCTCAGGCCTATCGAATGGCATGAGTGGTGCTAAGTAACACGTCTCTGTAGCCTCAGACATCAGGACGTGGATATTAAACGACGTCAGTACTCTGGAAGACCTTGACCAGAAACGCCCTCATAAAGCCATTTCGTGGGATGCGTGCTGATGACAGCCCTCCTCCCCGTTTTCTACTCCGAAACTACTGTCTGCTGACACGAACATCAAAAGCCTCTGGCGTTAAACCGCGTGCCGAAAGACGCCATTATTGAAAGGTGTTCACTAAGGAATCCGATGTTTCACTTCGAAAGCAGAATGGCTTAACTGCTGACAAGCTGAGACTTTGGCAAAATAATTATTTGCTGCCTGCAGAGAACGAGCAGTGTGCCATCTTATTCCATTAACCTGCAACCTTGGTACTAGACCTTATCGCGTTTGAAGACTTGATTTTGTTCTGTCTGGCATCGCGATCGGAAAAAAAAACTAATCGATAACACTTCGTACTCGACGGTCCGTAGATCGATTGACAAGATCACTTTGCCACGATCACCGGGGATTACCTCAGTTCCTGTTGTCAAAAGTCCTGAGATTCATGAATATTTCGATTCAAATGTTATATAAATTAATTATGAGCCTGAAATAGTCTAAAGATATCAATCGATCAATCAATCATTTATTTAGTTGAGATCTCGTGTTCTTGCGGTCAACAGCTCTGTTATAACTGCCATTAATAACAATATTCTTTTACATGTTAATCTTAATCACTGCAGTTCAAAGATACGGGGACCACGCCCTGAGGGCAAAGCCCCAAAGTAAGTCAGGCCGAAAAGAGTAAAGGACTGGGGAAGATCACCGCTCAGACGTAATCTGGGGTGCATTTCCCCGGCTGGCTTTGAAAGGAACCCTCAAAATGTAGCTCATGGGTTCGCTTAACCGCTTGGGGATGCCTTGTGGTTGCCCAGTTTGCAGAGAAACCCCAAGGCAGAAACTCGCCTCACTCGCAGTGAACGATGCTCAAGGGGTTTTGCCAAACGCGAAAATTTTCCCCTGGCCTAGACACTCCTGTTCTTCGCCAGCCTGGTTGCAACACGAGTGTAAGACTGACGTAAGGCCACTGGTTCAATTGACTGTTGAGCAACATTGACCCTGGGCCGCATTAGCGCTTCAATGACTTACTAGAGCTGTAACATTTGTAGAGTTCAGAATCCATCTTCTGGCCCGCACACTCAAATCATTACTCATCTGTTACATCTGGATGAATAAAGTAAAACAAATACTGTATGAAATTTGAGGTTCCAACGACGGTGATGATGTCGATGGTAGTATTCTGGATTTCGAACTCTGAAGATGAATGAAGCATGTTCCTACGAAACGTCGCATCGTCCTAACAGTCCACTTGGTATAACGAATCAAAAGATCTGCACGGACTACAAGAGCAGCTGAATGTATAGAACTCGCGGATACGCGGTGGTACAACTAAAATACTTCAAAAATTACACTTTGAAAGGCAGTAACAAGGAGGATACCGATTTTAAAGATGAGAACGTTTATGAGACGTTTTGTCACATTAAATTATATTCCTCGTTTACAAGATTACTGTGTGGATGTTCGTGTGTTTCCGCACTCTGTGTTATAATTCTTCATGCAAGGTGAAACAATTCACGTAATGGCCAGGAAGCAGACAGCACGGAAGGCCAACATGGCTACACTACGTATTATAAGAATGGTACAGTACTAACGTATATTTTTTTTATATTTCTAACCCCGTCCATACGCCTCATATTCCGTTTACTGTGGCAAGTGTATGAATGAAGTGATTGGTTACAGTTGGGGCGGTCATAATTCGATGAAAGACGGATGTCTTCAAGAACGTTTCATAGCCAGAGATCGTTAAGTCGACCACACGTCTCCACCCAGCGCACGATATTTAACCGAACGTCAGCTGTAAGCCGCTATGGCATGGCGTTTAAAAATCGGGATTCTTTACCTCACGATTTGGATTGTCACGGCTATCATCCCACCACAGAAGTTCGCCCATTTCCCGTTAACGACTAGAGACATTGCATAACAAGAAGACAAGATGTCAGTCGGTGCTAAGAAAATGTGGACACGGAATGTGCTCAAAATCTGTTTCAAGATTCTAAGTTATTGAGCCGACAACCACACGCATGTGACTAAATGTATGAATGTTATTTATCACTTAGATTAAAACTGGAAAAGCTATATTTACACAGGAGGCATCTTGGTGACCTTTATATTATTGATGTTTTAAAGAATAAATTTGTTGTTCGTCCATTACGTCTGCGCATAACTTCTAGGTCAATCAGAGACTACTTTTGCTGTTTATCGCAATTTTCCTCAGCCACATGTGGTTCTGCTATCAATGCAGTCTGCAAGAGGTTACTGAATTATTTAATGAAGATTGTATTTTACATACTGATATCAGCCAGCTCCTTAAATCAAAACAATTGTTCTCTTCTAGTGTATTTACTTTTAATTATATTTTATTGTGTGTTTATTTTAGCATTTACAAGTAATTGCGATCTCAGCTGTTGTCAAACAGTTTAATAAATGGATTGAATTATTATTATTATTATTATTATCCCATCTCTTCACTACTTTATGGGGTATTTACTTCCATGTACCCGAGACAGACCTTGTCCCTAAGGTACATAGGGCAGCAGCTATTTCCGGGAT